CGGGACGGAGGGTTTCTATCAGATCTCTTGACCTGCTGTCGACTGCTTGACGGGCTGTGATGGATTGGGTCTGGATCTGGGTCATCCATCAGACCGGCTGCAGATCTGGGTTATTGTGGGATTCTGGGTTATTGTGCGGCGGCCACCCTGCAGAGCCGCTCAGCATCATGGGAAACACATTTACACGCGCAGTCATCAGTGTGGATCAACAACACAATGCTGGAATCCCATAATAGAGCGGAGTGTGTGTACAGACATCACTATATACCGTCCACAACACCTTCACTTCTCTGAGTTTGACTATAATGTAATAACCTGCTCCTTGTGGAAAGCTGCTTTGGAACAATAATTATTGTGAAACGTGCTATACAAATGAGCTTGAACTGAACTGAAACACTGTATTTCCAAACAAATCCAGCCGAAACAAAGAGGACCCTACAGGCTATCTGCCACGATTCCAGCTTGAAGGAGCAAATACAAGTGTTAGACAGTGAAACTGAAGGTCTGCTGTTAGAGCGCAGTAGCTGATCAGCTAGTGTAGCTCCTCCCCCTCAGTCCAGCATCAGCTAGTGTAGCTCCTCCCCCTCAGTCCAGCATCAGCTAGTGTAGCTCCTCCCCCTCAGTCCAGCATCAGCTGGTGTAGCTCCTCCCCCTCAGTCCAGCATCAGCTAGTGTAGCTCCTCCCCCTCAGTCCAGCATCACCTAGTGTAGCTCCTCCCCCTCAGTCCAGCATCAGCTGGTGTAGCTCCTCCCCCTCAGTCCAGCATCAGCTAGTGTAGCTCCTCCCCCTCAGTCCAGAATCAGCTAGTGTAGCTCCTCCCCCTCAGTCCAGCATCAGCTAGTGTAGCTCCTCCCCCTCAGTCCAGCATCAGCTGGTGTAGCTCCTCCCCCTCAGTCCAGCATCAGCTAGTGTAGCTCCTCCCCCTCAGTCCCGCATCAGCTAGTGTAGCTCCTCCCCCTCAGTCCTGCATCAGCTAGTGTAGCTCCTCCCCCTCAGTCCTGCATCAGCTAGTGTAGCTCCTCCCCCTCAGTCCTGCATCAGCTGGTGTAGCTCCTCCCCCTCAGTCCAGCATCAGCTAGTGTAGCTCCTCCCCCTCAGTCCAGCATCAGCTAGTGTAGCTCCTCCCCCTCAGTCCCGCATCAGCTAGTGTAGCTCCTCCCCCTCAGTCCCGCATCAGCTAGTGTAGCTCCTCCCCCTCAGTCCCGCATCAGCTAGTGTAGCTCCTCCCCCTCAGTCCAGCATCAGCTGGTGTAGCTCCTCCCCCTCAGTCCCGCATCAGCTAGTGTAGCTCCTCCCCCTCAGTCCCGCATCAGCTAGTGTAGCTCCTCCCCCTCAGTCCCGCATCAGCTAGTGTAGCTCCTCCCCCTCAGTCCAGTATCAGCTAGTGTAGCTCCTCCCCCTCAGTCCAGCATCAGCTAGTGTAGCTCCTCCCCCTCAGTCCCGCATCAGCTAGTGTAGCTCCTCCCCCTCAGTCCAGCATCAGCTAGTGTAGCTCCTCCCCCTCAGTCCCGCATCAGCTAGTGTAGCTCCTCCCCCTCAGTCCAGTATCAGCTAGTGTAGCTCCTCCCCCTCAGTCCAGTATCAGCTAGTGTAGCTCCTCCCCCTCAGTCCAGCATCAGCTAGTGTAGCTCCTCCCCCTCAGTCCCGCATCAGCTAGTGTAGCTCCTCCCCCTCAGTCCAGCATCAGCTAGTGTAGCTCCTCCCCCTCAGTCCAGCATCAGCTGCTGTAGCTCCTCCCCCTCAGTCCCGCATCAGCTGGTGTTGGGGTTGTCAGACAGGAGTCCTGCAGTGGTCAGAGGGGTTGTGAGCTGTTCTTCTTCAGAATAGTGTTCAGGTCACTACTGATGCTGCTGGAGAAAAACCTTTCCTGACTCGCTACTCCAAAACCCCAAAGTGCTCAATAATGTTCAGCTCTGGGTACTGTGCCGGCCATGAGGGATGTTCAGCTTCACTGTCATGTTCATCAGAGCGCTCTGTCTCCAGTCCTGCTGTGTGTGTCGCTGCATCATCATCATGATACACACCACCGCCTTCAGGATACAGTGTTTGACCAATCGGGTCACATGCTCCTCCAGAATAGTCCTTAACAGTAACCCAGAACTCATCCAGCACCAGAATTGGTCTAGGGGACACCATGATATTGAGCTCAGACCATCAGTGACCCCGCATGCTTGACTCTGGGCATCAGCAGTCTGGGCGGGCCGCTTCTCTGGGGCTTCTCCACACTGTAATGTGGGAGACACAGTGAAGCTGGATCATCAGAGAACAGCACACGCTCCACACCGTCCACAGCTCCAGATCTCCACCGCTGCTCCACTGAAGCCGGCGTTCGGCGTGGGCAGGAGTGAGCGGAGGTTTGGCTCATGTATATTGACCCAGTGTAGCTCCAGAGCAGCAGTTCTGCTGGACACAGGAGAGTGGAGCTGCACATGTCATTCTGCAGTGAGTCGGGCCGCTGTGCTCTCATGTGTTCTGGGTCAGTCAGGGTTAGCAGCTCTTTCAGCTTCCTCTGGCCTCCACAGCTCCTCCTGCTGGATGTGCTTCTTCTTCTCGGTGATCTGCTGACATTACTCTGGACACCGCGGCTCTCGATCAACACATTGTCCAGCTGTAGGCTTCATTCACATGGTTGAAGGGTTTTCGGGGGTCAGTGTGTGATGTGTGTGTTTTCCAGTAGGGAGGTATCATATCTCACACTGAGAGTGAAACAGGGTTCTCTTGCTCGTGTAGAGAGCAGTGGATGAGGATGCACACGGTGCAGAGAGCCTTCGGTCAGGACGCAGATCATGCATTCAGCTCTTGTATGAAGCTGGTTACTCATATCAGCTGTCTTCAGTGATGGACACATGCAGTGTCTGCAGATCAGAGGACCACTGTTCTGTCAGTTTATACAGCGGGGTCTAACCCTCATCAGGCAGTGTGCTGCAGTGTACATGATGATGTGGAGGTGTGTGATATGAAGCTGAGAGCTGATGTTCATGAGCATGAGACTGCCTCTGTTTACTGATGGATATACTGCAGTGATGATGCTTGAATCCCTCATAACCCGTCCACATATGAACAGAGCAGATCTCATCAGATGGGGAACTGAGACTCCGTCACGGTCAGGCCTCACTGCTGCGACACATTCTCAGCTGAAGGCTGACTTGGCTTTGACTCTGTGAGTGTTGTTGGAGTGTGCGGCCGGTTCCTTGTGTGGAGGAAATAAGAGCGGGTTATGAGGTAGTGTTGAATATTCATTTCTCCATTAGCATTTCCTCCGTGTTTCTCACACTGTTTAGAGTTTGGTACATTCCCATAACCCCCATCCCAATGAACCCTCCCACATATGACACTACAAATTAATCAAGACCCCCGAAAACCCTTCAACCACTACACCACAAAGAGCCAGACCCCCCCGGCCCACCGCCTGCTTTACTGGCAATTAACACTCAGAGCATGTGTGTGTGTGTGTGTGTGTGTGAGTGTGTGTGTGTGAGTGTGTGTGAGTGAGTGAGTGAGATTGTGTGGGTGTGGGGGGTTGTGTGTGTGAGTGTATGTGTGTGTGTGTGTGTGTGTGTGTGTGTGTGTGTGTGTGTGTGTGTGTGTGTGTGTGTGTGTGTGTGTGTGTGTGTGTGTGTTTACTTAGCAATATTTTATGGACAAACCCATCTCCCCAAAACTAGGCTAACTCTGACTACAGCAGCAGATTAATCTGTCTAAACTAATCCCCGAGTGTGTGTCGAGGTCCTTTAATAAGAGTACAGTCTTAAACATACGGCCTGGCCTGTCCTCAGCTTCATTCCTCTTCTTAAAGGTCCAGTCTGAAAGGCTTTTTGAAACAGCGCTGAATCTCTGAGTCTCTGAAAACTCACACTACAGCTTCTGCACATCATCATGCAGGTCAGGGATGGGCAACACCCATCCCAGAGAGCACCAGTCCTACAGAGATCTGCTCCAGCTCTAATGCCACAGCCAGGTGTGTGTGTGTGTGTGTGTGTGTGTGTGTGTGTGTGTGTGTGTGTGTGTGTGTGTGTGTGTGTGTGTGTGTGTGTGTGTGTGTGTGATCAGCAGGATGTGGTGAGGGTGTTTGCGTCAGTAATGTTGGTCTGCAGATCTCCAGTGTGTCAGATGTGAGATGTTGCTGTGCTGATTGTAAAAGTCCTCCGTCAGTCCGTCATCACAGTGCTTCAGTGTTCTTCTTCTTCTTCTTCTGTTGTTATTCCCTCCAGAACTGTGTTGAGCATCTGTCTGCGCTCAGGTCACCAGCGTTAGTTAAACCTCTGAAAGTCAAGTGCTATTTTGGGGTTTCCGCCTGGATTGTGCCTACCCAAACTCAAAAGCTTCCCAGATCCACATGCAGAGGTGTACACGCAAACGATGGTCTCTTAAAGAAACCCTTTGAATTGTCTTAACACACTGCTGAAGGTGAATAAAATAAGTGCATGTGTTGTCTGTGTTAATATAAACCCCTCAAAGTAGAGGTGCTTTTTGTATTTTTAGGTTGTGTGTGGTCTGGGTTGCCGTTATTGATTGTCAGAATCAGAGAAAAAAAGGAAAATGTCTCTGTCATAATCTGGGCCTAATCTATTCCAACTGATGAGAGAACAGAACCATGTCTGGAGGTATTGGTCCAGTAAGAGCCCTGCTCTACCAAATGGTTGACCATATTTACACTGTTTTAAATACTGGCTCACACACACACACACACACACACACACACGCACACACACACACACACACACACACACGCACACACACACAAACGCACGCACGCATGCACACACGCACACGCGCACACGCACATGCACACACACACACACACAGCACTGACAAACACAATCAGACCAGCATAATCCTGTTGCATTACTACACTTGATTTTGGGTTTATTGTAGAGACATGTTGAATGAGAATCTGAAATGTTTGATGGCGTCCTTCAACAAGTAAAGATGATTTAGAGTTCAAACATGTTTAATTTTGATTATGGTTTTTAATAAATGAGTCCAACACTTCATATGAACTGATATGTATTTATTCCAGTACTTTTACCATAAACCGACATTTGGTAGAGGTGGATATTTCAGGAATTATGGGATGTGTTGGACAAAATGCATTGAGTGTGTTAACTAGCGACATTAGGAGTAAGAAATCCAATCCAATTGACTTTTTCTTAGAGGGCTATGCAAGGAATAAGAGAACAGACAATACAATCATCATCATCATCATTCTGCAGTCCTCGTTGTTGAACTGTAGTGTTACGCTCACATATATTCATGAGTTTATGGTTAGTGCCGGTTGGCTGACGTGAGTGTGTGTGTGTGTGTGTGCTCGCCTGTCACTGTGCGTGTGTTTGTGTGGTTTGGTGATTGTGTTATTGTTGGCCGTGAAGGGGATTGGATCAGCTGTGTGTGTGTGTGTGTGTGTGTGTGTGTGTGTGTGTGTGTGTGTGTGTGTGTGTGTGTGTGTGTGTGTGTGTGTGTGTGTGTGTGTGTGTGGGCATGTGGAGGCTGTGTGTGGGAACCCCGTGCTCCTCTCTTCTCATACATTGTTCCAGTGCTCCTCCAAACCGTTAATTCTACAAAAGATGCTCAGCCATTGTGTGTGTGGGACAGCTGAGGGTCGGGGAGGGGGGCGCGGGCAGACCTCCACCCGCTGCGGATTCACTCCCGCTGCATTTCTCCAGATTTACTCCCGCTGGATTCTCCACTCCTGCATCTGAGAGACGCTGCGTTTCCATTGCGGTCCTGAAGGCGAAGAGTCCGCTGAAGGTCCCCATTGTGATTCAAATGGCATTCCTTTTAATTAAGAGTAGAATTAGAGATGGAGGGGGGGGTGAAGGGGTGGAGATCAGACATTTACACACCTTCTTCTACACTGGTTTCAGACTGCATGTCCAGCTACACTCATGAACTAAACTTGAAACCAAAGGAAGAAGCTAACGTCCACCAGTGTTTGAGCTTACAGTCGCGTCACCGTGTTCATGATGTGGCTTCATTATCAATGACGAACTGCTACTATAGACTGCTTCCCCACTCAGACGGGTAAAGTTCAGTTTAATTGAAGTATGCAGGTGCTCTCTGTGCATCCATATGCATACTATTGAACACGGCCACAATAACCTCACACCGAGCCTTTCAGCAACACATAAAAGCCAAATCCCCAGCGGCGCTGTGAGGCCAGGATGTTCAGGTGACAAAGTCATTATTAAAACCAACCGCTAAGAGAAGCTGAAGCCAGGGTCTGTCCGCCGAGATTAAAGTAGACGACCGCAGGTAAACAGAGATCCGCCATATTCTCCCACCCCCAAACGCTCAGGGGACACGCAGAGTTCCACCCCTGCAGATTAAGCCTCTGTCTGTTTTGTCCCCAACACAAGAGTCTGTGCATTCCCCGTCTGAAAGCCCTGCGCCGCTGTCACATGCTGGAGATTAGCCAAGCTAAGACTCAATAGAATGCTCACTTTACTGCCCCCCCGAACACAGGCACACATCTCTGAACCAGGAGGAGAAATAATCAGTCTGCCGCAGCAAACGCTCCGAGTCTAGACAGCAGTATGAAGCAATTATCAATCGGCATGCGGAAGATTTGGGTTAATTGTGGCAGAGCGCTCATTGTGGCGCTGACACATGAATATACATGGAGAGCAAATGAGACGCATGTTTCTCACAGGCGGGAGGGAGGAGAACATCCGTCATGCGCTCTAGAGCTGCTGGAGCTGGACATGCTCAGGTTATTGACTCGTCATCAGGCGCTCTCCTCACTCCAGATCTGTGGATTTGGAAAGGCACGTTGCGTCAGGCATCCTCAGACATGATCACGTCAGCCTCAACTTCAGACACGCCCTCTGTCAAGCGTTGACGCTGAAGCCTCGTGTGATTGAGGCGTTACAGTAGGGGTGGTTAAGACAATGCTAACGTCAGCGCAATGATTATCAATGAGTAATTCATTTATTTTGTTGCGCATCTCATGAGTAAACCAGGACTGTGTGTAGTAAACTCTGCTCCATCTAAACACAGCTGCTGCAGGTTTACTAGAACTGGCTTTACTGACAAAATGACCATGACGATCGCCTCCACTAAATCTGCCAGCACAGGAAGAGTTTCAGCTAACCACAGAGTAATGTTCATCTATTATCCATCAGGAATCGAGATCCCAGAGCCTGAGCAATGATTAAAGCTACTGCTGTTTGAAGAGTGTGAACGAGAGCAGCGCTGACCTTGAGTCTGATGCTGAACTACTGCACACACGCACACACACACACACACACACATACGCACGCACACCTGAAACCTTGAGAAATGTTTGCCAACTCAATGACACACACACACACACACACACACACACACACACACACATACACACACACACACACACACACACACAGTGTGGCCTTGGTATAAACAGTTTTGTTTGTCCGCTCACACACAGCGTGTGGTAAGTCAGTGAGTGTCACATTCTCAGACTCTAAACCGCAGATATCCTGAGCTACAGAAATATTGATCAGGGCCGCTCGTCTACTCAATGTTCACCACAAACTCTTGATGGTAGCAGGATAAGTATGAAGAGTTCAGATGCAAAATCCTTTAAGTGCCGTCTGAAATTTCCATTGAAAATCAACATTCTCCTCCTCCTTTGTTTATTTCGGGATATTTCCCTGTAAAGAGCAGGAACAGGTCTTATTCTTAGCTGTAAAAGTGATGAAACTGAACACACACACAGGAGCCTTATAAAATCACAGTTTAGGAGAAAATTTCAGACGGCATTTTTGTATCTGAACTCTTCATATGTACTGGATCATCACAGCTACAGTGCTGCATCGTTAGCTTTACGGTATTAATCAAACTAACTGTAATGTTGCACAAGAGTACAGACAGCATCACAAAGGTGTAGATTTGCTTTTGATATAGGTGGGAATATAAATCCCCCCCCCCCACACACTTAATCAGAATAACATTAATATAATAATCAGATTAACATTAATATAATAATCAGAATAACATTAATATAATAATCAGATTAACATTAATATAATAATCAGAATAACATTAATATAATAATCAGATTAACATTAATATAATAATCAGAATAACCTTAATATAATAATCAGAATAACATTAATATAATAATCAGAATAACATTAATATAATAATCAGATTAACATTAATATAATAATCAGAATAACATTAATATAATAATCAAAATAACATTAATATAATAATCGGAATAACATTAATATAATAATCAGAATAACATTAATATAATAATCAGAATAACATTAATATAATAATCAGAATAACAATAATATAATAATTAGAATAACATTAATATAATAATCAGAATAACATTAATATAATAATCAGAATAACATTAATATAATAATCAGAATAACATTAATATAATAATCAGAATAACATTAATATAATAATCAGATTAACATTAATATAATAATCAGATTAACATTAATATAATAATCAGAATAACATTAATATAATAATCAGATTAACATTAATATAATAATCAGAATAACATTAATATAATAATCAGAATAACATTAATATAATAATCAGAATAACATTAATATAATAATCGGATTAACATTAATATAATAATCAGAATAACATTAATATAATAATCAGAATAACATTAATATAATAATCGGAATAACATTAATATAATAATCAGAATAACATTAATATAATAATCAGAATAACATTAATATAATAATCAGAATAACATTAATATAATAATCGGAATAACATTAATATAATAATCGGATTAACATTAATATAATAATCAGAATAACAATAATATAATAATTAGAATAACATTAATATAATAATCAGAATAACATTAATATAATAATCAGAATAACATTAATATAATAATCAGAATAACATTAATATAATAATCAGAATAACATTAATATAATAATCAGATTAACATTAATATAATAATCAGATTAACATTAATATAATAATCAGAATAACATTAATATAATAATCAGATTAACATTAATATAATAATCAGAATAACATTAATATAATAATCAGAATAACATTAATATAATAATCAGAATAACATTAATATAATAATCAGATTAACATTAATATAATAATCAGAATAACATTAATATAATAATCAGAATAACATTAATATAATAATCGGAATAACATTAATATAATAATCAGAATAACATTAATATAATAATCAGAATAACATTAATATAATAATCAGAATAACAATAATATAATAATTAGAATAACATTAATATAATAATCAGAATAACATTAATATAATAATCAGAATAACATTAATATAATAATCAGAATAACATTAATATAATAATCAGAATAACATTAATATAATAATCGGAATAACATTAATATAATAATCAGAATAACATTAATATAATAATCAGAATAACATTAAATCAGGTGTGTGTCATACTGCAGATGTGTATGATTTTACTTGAATGTGGAGGAGTGAGTGCAGATTTGTGGAGAGGGAAGTCATGTGACATGATAACTATCTCTTCTCCATTGCTGATTTTCATAATCGTTGTGGAGGCCAAAACACTAAATAGTTATTAACTATTAGTAACTGAACTGTGATTAATGTGGTTTTATTATTGTGGACTCTTAGTGATCTTGACCATTTCATTTGATATGTAGTCCCATGTGTCTGCGTCTTGCACAGTAAGCTGAACATCCAAACGCACCATAGCAGATTCTCATTGCAAAGGCACAGCCAATCACAGTGTCTGTATGTGTTTGGGGGAGGAGCTGGAGTAGAGAGCGTGACGTAACCCTTTCTGTACATGTGTGTTGATGAGAGCTGACGGAGCTTTGGTTTATGTTGGAGGTGATTGAATTATTGGTGGAGACACTTCAATAATCGGTGGATATCGGTGGGGACACATGCTAATCCCACACCCTCAACAGTGTGTCTGAACCCCCTCCCTGCCTAGTGTGTGGAGCGTCCGCATGCATTAGTATGCTTCCCACACACTGCGCCGTCCTGCTTGTTTGTAATGGGCTGCGTTTCCACCATAAATCTGCCTTGGGAACCCCTGAACATGTCTAGAAAAGTGTCTAGAAAGTGCTGAAGACGCATGCGTTTACTCATGCATATGGATGAGCTGAACAACACAAACACTGAACTGTCAACCTCCATTATGTGTCAAAAACAGGAACCCACGAGCGCCATACAGCAGAGGAACATGGCCAAAAACCCACAATCAGTGCTGAGGAATCATTTCATTCCCACTCAGAGCCATGGGGAACGGACATGGACGCTTGAGAACCGCTGCTGTTCATCTTGACCTTTAAATCACGACTCTGACCCGCTCATATTCCTGAGAAACTTCTCTTCCACGGCAGATTCGGGGAAATTAAGAGGAAAGATGACAGATGAGGGTAAAGCTCTGAGACACGGGCACGTGCGGGAGGAATACCTCAGAAACTACAGAGGACTGATCAGCGAAATCCCACAGCTGATGCATGTGACAGGAAGTGAAAGTTGTCGACACATCATCATCATCATCACACACACACACACACACACACACACACATCAGCACTCGAGATCATTTCCATTACGTCAGGTTCTCCAGACGGAGCTGAAGGGAGAGTCCGGTGCTCTTGTCAGCCGTGGTGGACTGGAGCAGGCATGCGTGTGGAGTAGAGCTGCACGATACTGGAGTTGCCTGATGTTGCAGTGTTTTATTGTTCTCTGATAAATATCCCAACATTAATACAGTTTCAGCAGGTGCTTTAACAGCTCTGTTATTGGGTTTTCTGAGGACTCTTAAAGACCAGTTTAACTGGACACGGTGACCTGATGAAGAGCGTGCAGGTTGAAATGTTGTCCAGTTAAACTAAATGAGTCTTTTGAGAGCTGAACAGGCAGTGTGCCCATCATCCTGACTATTTCTATCGTGTCTAGTGTTTTCTAGATGTGCACACACTGATGTTAGTCTGTATATATTTGTGTACTGTGTGTGTGTGTGTGTGTGTGTGTGCAGCAGACCACATCAGCAGCTCAGCATCGCTCCGGGCAGAGAGACGAGCAGCCGACTCTACCAGTGACTGTGTGTGTGTGTGTGTGTGTGTGTGTGTGTGTGTGTGTGTGTGTGTGTGTGACTCTGACAGCTGTGTGTAAGTCTGCAGATGAACTCAGCTGTTATTAATGAAAACACTGCGTCGCCATGGAGATTCTGCTGCAGGTGCTGATGGATGAGTGTGGAGGCAGAATTCCTCAAGAAGCTGTCTGTCACTGTGTGTGTGTGTGTGTGTGTGTGTGTGTGTGTGTGTGTGTGTGTGTGAGAGAGAGAGAGAGAGAGAGACCTTTGCACACTTATCTTGATATGTCAGAGAAACTGAAAATGCCCTCAGCTCTCAGAACACAGTGAGTGTATTTCTGCACACACACACACACACACACACACACACACTAGAATCTGCTGTTTCCTCCAGACACTCTTCAGCACAGGTACCGCTGCACACTGATGATGAGCAGTACAGGTGTCAGATCCTCCTCTTAACGCCTGCAGGTGAACCCTGATCAGTGAAGAACACATGAGGATCTGCTGTCAGCGCTGTACAGTCAATAACTGTCATTATAATGGAGTCAATGGAGCAGAAACACACCAACATCCCCAAAGAAGAGTCAGTCTGAACACACACACACACACACACACAGGTTAATAACTGAAGGTGTATTGAGTGAGTGGGTGAGGTCTCCCTCAGTGTGTCTGTGCAGCAGGTAAATGAGTGTAGAGTTTCAGGATCTGCCCTCAGCTCTTCCTCTTCCTGCTGCACGTACACCTGCTGGAGCTCCAGAACATTCCTCTCGCTCCACAAAACACAGCCATTGTGTGTGAAATCCCAGTTCATCAGCGTTCACACAGCCAACACGATGAGCACAGTCAGAGCATGATGGAGGAACACAACAATACACTCACGCTACACTACAAGAGTCATCTTCAGCCTCACACACACACTTAACATCACTACACAACAACACAACAACGTCCTGCCACATGCATTACCAACACACACACACACACACACACACACACACACACACACACACACACACTCACACACACACACACACACACACACACACACACACACACACACACACACACACACACACACTCATACACTACGGCCAGTGTAGTTCCTCAGTTCCCCTATAGCGCATGTGTTTGGACTGTGGAGGAAACCCACGCCAACACGGGGAGAACATGCAAACTCCACTCAGAAACACACACTGACCCAGCCGAGACTCAAACCAGCGACCTGAGTGCTGTGAGGATATCGTGCTTAAATAAACTGTATAACGCGAAACAACAACACATGCATATCCACATACAGCTGTTGTGGGTCAGTTGAATCAGCTCACTGTTAAATTTCAAACATTTAACCCAACTAGATGAGTTATTAATTAATAACCACATACAGGTTAAAAATAACCCAACAACGCACCGAATATTTAACTCAACCATTGGGTTTAATAAATAAATAAATAATCACATAAATATATAAAAATATAAAAATAAATACATAAATAAATAAGTAAATAAATAAATACATTAATAAATAAATAAATACACAAATAAATAAATGAATACATTTATAAATAAATACATAAATACACAAATACATAAATACATAAATAAATAAATAAATAAATAGATAAATAAATAAACAAACAATCACATAAATATATAAATAAATAAATAAATAAATAAATAAATAAATAAATAAATACATAAATAAATAAATAAATAAATAAATAAATAAATAAATAAATAAATAAATACATTAATAATTAAATAAATATATAAATATATTAATAAATAAATAAAAATACATAAATAAATACACAAATAAATAAATAAATAAATTTATAAATAAATACACAAATAAATAAATAAATAAATAAATAAATAAATAAATAAAGGTTAAAAATAACCCAACAAAGCTCAGCCATTGGGTTAAATAAATGACTCGCTGTGTTTCAGCGAGCAGCACTGAAGAGCAGAGACTGATCAAGACTGCACTCTCTACAGCTGATCCCAGCACAGTTTACCTTGTCCTGATCAGACTTATCCTGCTCTGTTGTTTATGCAGATTTTCAACATGTACACACATCATGCTGTTTCCCTCCAGCACTTTTATTTCATATGTCAAATCTGTGCATGAACACAGGTGGATGGAGACACCCCAGATAGCATCAGGGCACCATTATGGACAGAGCCTAAGATCTGGCAACCAGCTCAAGGAGAAACTGTCTTCATGTCTCCTCATGATGTCTGAACACAACACAACACAGCACAACACAACACAACACAACACAACACTATACTCTACTCTACTCTACTCTACTCTAGTCTAGTCTAGATGAGCTGCTGCAGTGAAGAGTGTGTGGAGATCTGGAGCAGATCAGGATTGTTTTGGTTGTTTGGTTGTTTTGGTTGTTTTGCAGTGTGATGTGATTTTCCTAATAAACGAAAGTGCTCTGTGTGGTACTGTAGAAGCTGTTTGTGTGAAGAATGAGACACACAATGGCAGTCCTGTAAACAATCTGGTACTGTACTCTCACCTCAGTACTGCAGCTGTCAGTCAGCGGCGCTCAGACATCAGGGAGCCAGTGTGTGTAAATCTCTGCAGGAAAGACATTCTCCCTGCATATGAAGAGTCGTGTTTCACTGTGTGTGTGTGTGTGTGTGTGTGTGTGTGTGTGTGTGTGTGTGTGTGTTGGAGTTCAGACGGAGGACATGTTTAAATAGATGCAGCACATCAGCTTCTGCAGCGCAGGTAAACATGTTCATGCTGTCTTGAGTTTCACACCTGTACAGTCAAGACTGGGCGCAGGGTGTGTGTGCAGTGGAGCAGAGCATTATGGGTATTTCTGTAGGGTGAAATATCCTGAAATCCTCACTTCACACAGCACACATCAGCAGAACAACAGCCTGACCTCACCGTGCAAATGCAACTGCGGGTCTCTTCAGCGGCTGATTCTGAGCCATTCACACCAGTTCAGTAGTGTGGAAATGTAGGACTTTTAAAAGGAGGCGTGGCCCCAAACCCCACCCCTGAACACCAACCCTCATTAGGGGAGGAGCTAATCAGGCTAAATTGTATGAATGAGATGTACAAATGAATATGATTTAATCAAACCGCCGTGAGGATAGCACCACCTTCTCATACTTCAGCCTCCACATCAAAGCTCCTGAAGGTCAAGCTGCTGCAGGATTGGCCAGCCCAGTCACCAGACATCAACATTATTGAGCTGATGAAGAAGGAGGTGTTGAAGATGAACACAGAGACTCTTGATGAACTCTGGGATCCTGCTGAAGCTTTCTTCTTCATTCCAGATGACTTTATTAATCAGTGATGTGAGTCATGTCAGAGATGTATGGATGCAGTCCTCCAAGCTCATGATGGAGTCAGACACAATCTTCATTCTGTCTCCACTGCAGCAGGACTTTATATTCTATACTGGACATTATTTCTGTTCAGTGATGACACTTTAGTCTGAGCAGAGTCAGAGCGCACTGTCCTCATCAAATCAGTCAACATCAAGACATGATCAGATTTATTGAGCTCAAATCAGCAGAATCTAGAGGCCTTCACCTTTCATAGAGACACTTCTGACACCAGATCAGCAACTAGAGTCCAGTTATTATCTGTGTTCCTAAAACTACACCACAAGACTTCTGTCAGGTAGAGTATGCAGATCTCACAGAACAATCTGTCTGCTCTAGAGAAAGCTTGTGGCAGATATCTGGACTAGAATCAAGACACAGTCTGTATGTGAGAGCAGCATTATTGAGCAGGGTTGGAGCTGTACCCATGCAGCCTCTCATTAAGCTGTGTTTTGGAGCACAGATGAGCAGCGAGAGTGTGTGGAGAGCGAGATCTCTCTGTTTGCACTCTGTAAAGTTCACACAAAGGCTGTTGCGCAATGCTCTCCTCCAACCGGTCCAACAGTCAACAAAGGATTAGAGGAGAGCAGACGTGAAACCCAACAGCCTGATTTAACATTATTAATCTCTCCAAACCCATTGATTCAGCATTCAATGAGTCTGCAATGCGATACAGAAGACTCCCACCGCACACTCACCTGCTGCTGCTCTCACCCTGAGCCTCTACTCCACATACTGCACCCACACACTCATTCACCAGAGCAGCACAACACACGGCCCTGCTCTCAGAAACTCTCTTCATGTTGACTCATTAAGTCTGAATATTCTGCCCTGCTCTAGTGAAGCTGCTGGATTGAGGAGTGTGTGGACGTGTGGGGCAGGCGTGAGACAGAGGCAGCAGGTTTGGGCAGTGCTGTGTGTGCAGTCAAGTCATCTCTATCTTTTGCTTAAACAAGACACTTCAGATCCGCCGTACACTGAGACCTGCCGACAAGAGCTATCACTGCATCAGTGTGTGTGTGTGTGTGTGTGTGTGTGTGTGCCAGCAGTGGATCATAATGCAGACGCGGGCAGGTGAAGGTGTGTGTACGTGCTGGAGCAGCAGTACTGTGAGCACATCGAGACCTCACAAGGGGCTGTTTACACACACAGACACACACACACACACACACACACACACACATACATCCCTGCCCCTCAACACTACACGCCTCAGGGACGCTGCCTCTTTTTTTCTAAAATCCCACTCCTGCATAAGAAAGGGAAGGGAGGAGAGTGATGTCAGAGTGATGTCAGAGTGATGTCAGAGTGGTGTCAGAGTGATGTCAGAGTGATGTCAGAGTGATGTCAGAGTGATGTCAGTTATGAGCTATCAGTCCGTTAGGGAGGAGCTTTCGGGCTTTTAGGGAGGATCTATCAGTCCTTTAGGGAGGAGCTTTCAGGCCTTTAGGGTGGAGCTATCAGTCCGTTAGGGAGGAGCTTCTGGGCCTTTAGGGAGGATCTATCAGTCCTTTAGGGAGGAGCTTTCAGGCCTTTAGGGTGGAGCTATCAGTCCTTTAGGGAGGAGCTTCTGGGCCTTTAGGGAGGAGCTATCAGTCTTTTATGATGGAGCTACCAGTTCTATAGGGGGGACTACCCGTCATTTTGGGAGGGGCCATCAGTGCTTTAGGGTGGAGCTATTAGGTTCCTCAGCTAATCCTCCACAACTGAGTACACACTGGCATTCAATCTTCCTCCATTTTGTAAGCAACACTCGCCCATCTTCCAACGATCCAATCAGTTCCCAACAGCCAAAATTAAGCCCCGCCCCACTACACTCCTCATTTCAGAAAGAGTTTCGATTGGTCACAGCGGCAGAGAGAGAGGAGAGATGGGCAAGAAGAGAGACTCATGTTGATTTGTGCTGTTACACTGATCGCCCTGTGGAGGAACACTGAGAGTGATCAACATTTACAAACACTCAGGATGAAGCCTCGGTTATTCAGTTCAGTGTATCTGTGCTCCTCCAGCGCTTCTCCAGTGTAGAGTGTGTGTCAGCAGCTGAACACAGGAGTTCTAGAGAACTGAAGCGCTGTCAGTCCAGTGTTCAGAGCTGAAGCTCAGTTCAGTTCAGTTCAGCTCAGTTCAGTTCAGTTCAGCTCAGTTCAGCTCAGCTCAGTTCAGTTCAGTTCAGTTCAGTTCAGCTCAGCTCAGTTCAGCTCAGTTCAGTTCAGTTCAGCTCAGTTCAGTTCAGCTCAGTTCAGTTCAGCTCAGTTCAGTTCAGCTCAGTTCAGCTCAGTTCAGTTCAGTTCAGTTCAGTTCAGCTCAGCTCAGTTCAGTTCAGCTCAGTTCAGTTCAGCTCAGCTCAGCTCAGCTCAGCTCAGCTCAGTTCAGTTCAGTTCAGTTCAGTTCAGTTCAGTTCAGCTCAGTTCAGCTCAGCTCAGCTCAGTTCAGTTCAGTTCAGTTCAGTTCAGTTCAGTTCAGTTCAGCTCAGTTCAGTTCAGCTCAGTTCAGCTCAGTTCAGTTCAGCTCAGTTCAGCTCGTTTGCTTTAATCTTTGCACAGACCCTCCTGATGACATCAGTGTTTCCAGATCCTCCATCAGCCCGACTCCAGCAGGAGCAACGGCTGAGGATCTGACAGAACACACTGCTCATGATCACACACACTCACACAGCGCAGAGGAGCAGTAGAGGAGCTGTTCAGACATGCAGACACGCCAACACAAGGCAGCGGGCACACACACACACACACACACACACACAAATCCTGATGCTTCACACACAGCACAACACGCTTTACTTACAGGCTGCTCCAGATCTCCACACACTCCTCACTCCAGCAGATCATCCTCTAGACTAGAGTAGAGTATAGTGTTGTGTTCACACATCATGAGAGAGTTTCTCCTGACACAAGCTCAATAATGGAGGAAGAGAATCAGAATAAAAAAGCTGCATTGAAATCTGTTTATTTCTCTTCACACTGTCAGATTATTCTGCATCTCTGTAGAGTTTAAAGACTGAAAGAGAAGTGAAGCGGCACACCAATGCGGTCCCCACGAGTCTGTGTGCATTCAGGGTGAAGTAACCACCAGGATATAAAAACAAGTACATTCTCTCTGTCCCACTCAAACACACACACACACACACACACACACACACACACACATACACACACACACATACACACACACACACATACACTTCCTCTCCAACCTTCAGCAAACACACACTGATCTCGGGCGGACACACTCTGCGCAGTTCAAAGCTGCATGTGTGTGTTTAAGTCTTAGCATGTGTGTGTGCGCATGAGTTAGCATGCTCATAAATAACTGACTGATTTTGTGTGTGTGGGTGTGTGTGTGTGTGTGTGTGTGTGTGTGTGTGTTTGTGCACGCTGTGGGGTAAAGAGCCGCGGTGTAGCTCAGTGTTCTCGTTATACACGTTCCGTTTCATTCCTCTCAATCTCAGCCTTGACTACACACACACACACACACACACACACACACACACACACACTTCCCTATTGCTCATCAATACGCACACACACACCGCTGATTTTTTAGCCCATCATTGAGTCGATTTAGGCGGCACGGTGGCGCAGTGGTTAGCACAGTTGCCTCACATTACTCAGCTCTCTGGTTTGAGTCTCGGCTGGGTCAGTTGGTGTTTCTGTGTGGAGTTTGCATGTTCTCCTCGTGTTGGTGTGGGTTTCCTCCGGGTGCTCCGGTTTCCCCCACAGTCCAAACACATGCGCTATAGGGGAACTGATCAACTACACTGGCCGTAGTGTATGAGTGTGTGTGTGTGTGTGAATAAGTGTGTATGGGTGTTTCCCAGTACTGCATTGCAGCTGGAAGAGCATGCGCTGTGTAAAACATATG